CGAGACGGATAACTCAAACGACACGAGAGCTGGCTAGTAAATTTAACTGCACACATGCCACCATAAAAAACACCTGCGAGCTTTTGGGAAGACGAACGAATGCGGCAATTTGGTGCCGCGCTTGCTTAAACCGAAATTATTTTTTTGGCCAACCTAATATAAAGTTATAGCATCTCTAGCAGCTGAATGGAGGCAATTTGAGAAGATGTAGGCAAGTTCATGCAGCAAATATAGACATTAACGATCATAATGCAAAATTACATCAGGTGGACAATCTACCCTGACGGAATTGACATAATTTTCGTGCAGCCTGCCAAATCTGGGCAAAGGCCAGCAAAATCAGAATTTTAATCACAACAAGTAGAGAAGTGGATCATACCCTAAACGTTAACTGATCTATTCTGGTAATGAAAGGATGAGAGATAGGACTTAAAAGTTTCAGTTGCTGTGAGAAGCTATTTGTGAAAACATTAATGTTGTAGAAATGTCTTTTGAAATTAGATATTCTTGATACAAAACAGACGTGAAAGCGAATGACGATTACTTGAGCGAATCTGCGAAAAGCCGAATGGAACTGAAAAAAATGCGTAGTTCATGCACTAATGAATGTGGAAGATAGGTGAACAATTCAATGTTCTTAGAGATATTTGGAAAACAGTATTTCAGCAAGCCCTTCTAGGTGCAAGAACAAGGAACAGGGAATAAAAACCTAACTGGGTAAACATAATTTTATGGAATCGAATTTGACTTCATTTGCAAAGACTTCATGTTGCTTATTTACCGCTTAGATTTGACCATTTGTATCAGTGAAAAGAAGCAAAGGAAGCGATAGTCACGTGTGAACATTAATAATTCTGGTCTAGCCTACAGGAACAAAACTTGAGAAGCCTGGGAACAAAAAAAGAAAGGATCAAATGATCCGGAAAAATAATTTGTTTCTGTGTGCAAGGGACAATCACAGTGTTCATGAGCTAACGAACGCTAGGAGGGACGTAACCCTCCATCATAAACACAACACAAATGCAAATATCAGGTAAACATCGAGAAGCTTGGAACCGCAACACTTTTTTGCGAGAAGGAAAAATTTGCGACAAAATTTTGCGGAAGCAGCGTCGGACATTCCGAAGAGTTGCTTGGCATATTCAATACGAAGTTATGCAAATGATCAAAAAAACTCATCCAAGAACGAAAAGGCGATGAATAAGAGAACAGGAACGAGAATTGTGCAACAAATATTTAGCACTCTTGAAAGAAAAAATGTTCGAGGATAAAAGCAACTTAATCACATAATTTGAGATGGAGAACGAAAACACTTTGCAAAAATCGAATCTTGTGGTAATAACGAGTAAACAACGAGCATCGCGTAGCCATTAAAGAACCATGATGGGATAAGGGCAAGCTGGTAGATTCGAGTAAATTGCGCTGTGAATTTCTGATAATATTAGATGCCAGTACTGAACGCAAAAGGTCAATCATAAACTACTTAAATGAAATTGTGATGCCATGAAACAGTTATTCGCTGATGTCCAAGGAACTCACCTCCTAGTGCTTTCATGACTAAGGGCCATAAGTGTAGTGTGCTAGCAATAAGATAGGGCTGACAACATCAGGGAT